ATGTAAAATTACAAAAACAGTTTATCTAATAAAAAATTAAATTAACATCTAGGCATATAAAACTACATAAACTATTTATTACAAGAGAAAATTAAGGGCCATAGCAAAATTGGATGAAAATGCTCTTTCTGTGAAGTTGTATATTTTATTTTCAGAAATGCTAGCAAGATCAACAAAGATTGCGAAGACCTTTTAAAGAAGGTGTAGGGAAGGTTTCAAATGAAAATGAATACAATGTTCTCGAAATTGTACCTGCTATAGTAAGACTTGTCTTGTTAATATTTTATTACTCTGCCATTGGCTGCCACAACACATCTTCTTGGCATGGACAAAATTAAATGTCGCATGTCGTAGGTACCTACGAACTCTTTCCAACCATTTTCGATAACTTTCCATAGTTGACCGCGGTTTGCCACCTAAAGTCTCTTTGATATATCTTTTTGACTATGAAGTCTCATACATTTTTAATGCGGTTCAAGTCAGAATTTTTTGCTGGCCATGGCAAAACATTTATGTGACCCACTCTCTTACTATTCGAGCCGTATAAACCAAGGGACAAACTACCTGAAAAAATTTGTACACCATAATTTCACTTCCTTAAATAATTCCTCGTACTTCCACCGGAATTCTACATACTTTCACTGAAATTCCATGTATTTCCACTGAAATTCCACATACTTCCACGGAATTCCAATTAAATTATAATTCCAAACCATTCTCTTAATATGCCACCGAATTCCACTGTCAGGTGCAGTAGAAACCCAAGTAAAACGATAGAGATAGACCTATACAGGATGGACCACCAGTAACTGCATCGATCGATATTTCAGAAACTAGATGTAGGAAAAATTTGAAAATTAGGAAATCCGAGCAGATTTTATGTAACATGTCCTATACCTGATACATAAAATTTGCCCAGAATCTTGAGTAGAATTCAAACTTACGTACGCAAAACAATTTCCATCTCGATTTGAAGCATTCACAAGTTGCTTATAAGCTCCAACTTGATATGCAAGAGTGGTAGTAAGATTTTTTCTCTTGTAACCAAAAGTTCGTTGATTACGTTTTGTTTTTCTTGAACCATAACATCTCTTAAAGGCTAATTTCTGTTAATCCAGTGCTGATTTTTAACTCTGCTGTCCCAAATACATAAAAAACGGGGTATTTTGTATATCCACTTTGCTGTCCAAGGAGGAAGTTTACCATTTTAAATCAACACAAATTGTCCATTGATATTTTACTTATTTAATTTTTTTTTTTTTCAAAACTAGTGCTATTGTTTCATAATCTTTTTTCATGGTAGTAGAATGGCTAATAAGAATTGAGCCATTATTGTTACCAGAGATAACGAGGAGATGTAACTACTAACAAATATTGTGCGGTCCTGAATAAGACATATTCCAAGGGACACAGGAGGATATAATATCCGCTGTTGTCATATGTCTATTTCATTCTCGTTTTGTTTACAAAATTATTTAGGTATATTAAAAAAGCTAAAATAATTCAACCTAGTTTATTGCAACAACCCAAAAAATTTTGAATCATTAGTTATATTAAATTTAACTAAATTAGATGCAATTTCATTAAATTAGATGTAATAATTTTCAATAAATTCCAAAACCTAGTTATGTTAGGTTGGAAATGGCAACAGGGCTTACACATTTATTCATTGATTAAAATAAGTTGTATCTGCGTAAAATTCTTCTCTTCATCCCTTCTCTTACTTCTCACCTTTCGTCTCCTCGCCGCGTCCCTACAAATAGAGTGTATCGATTGTCGAATTAATCTTGGCATCGTGAATATTATATTTTATCAATAAATGGTTATATCTCTGTTATCTCCGATTGTTACCGTTATGCAAAAGGACACATTTTAAACTACGTTTTGATAATAAGAAGCGCCAATCATCTGGAGTGTATTCTGACAAACCTATTTTTTCTAAGAGTCCTTTTATATCGTTAGTACCTGGATACAGAAGGTTTTTCTCTTTTAGTAATTCAACAGGCTCCTTTGAGAGGTTTAGGTCTCTTTTGAGATCGTTCAAATCTTGTTGATTGAAACGCTGAGGAATTGGTAAATCTGCTTCAGATTCGCTGTCGTTTTATGATTGAATTCTTTGAACTTCATCAGACGTTGATGTTTCTACGGAAGTTCAAGAAGACTGCTGAAGGATGGAATGGGTATTTCTTTCGAGTGCAGCACAGGTCTTCTTGCAGAATCTACATCAGGATAAATATGTCCATTTGTGTCTATTGTTCCTATTCATGCCTTTAATATTAACGAGACAAAAATAGCAGTCATTATAATGGTACTTCCTCTTTCCAATTGTCCACTGTCGCAAATGTTCAACACATGTTTTACACGCGACATGTGGAGCCCAAGATTTATTCTGGTCTCCCAAATGAACGCCAAAATAGGCAAGATAAGCCCTTTTCACAAAGCCAGAAATAGTTTTTCTGGATGGTTTACACCTGCTTGTTAATGCCATTGTTTTAGTTTTAACACTATAAAAAGACGAAAATTACATAAAATGATAGCACAACTTGCAAAAACTCAATAATATACTAAATCGAGAAGGGTAAAGGTAGATCCCTCCGATACCCGCGTGACGTCTGACAGACGCCACTCTCATTATCAATACGCACTTAGATTCGGACTTCTTCCAGATATGTGTAGTAAAAAACAAAATCGCATAAATAAATACAAGTTCAAGCAATGCACTAATTCCATATGCCTCGAGCATGCAGAATATATATGCTATATATAGTCATGTAATTTCAAATTAAATAGTTATTATCACATTTGAGTATTTGTTTTTTTTTATTTTGTTGTATTATTCTATTTATGCTAAGAAGTTATCTGTGTATTATATAAATTTAATTTATTTTGTTCATATGTTTAAAAATGTAAAATGTACATATTTTATTTTACTGTTATTAAAGAAGAATTTTTTTTTGTGAATTTAGGGTAAAACAAAAATGTATATATATATGAGTAATATGTAAATTATTTAAATAAAACCTTCAGCATATATTTTCATTCCATTCTTATGACTTAATTGAATGGCGTCTCACAGACACCACGCGGGTACTCTTGTTCGGAAATTGAACGCGGGTGACCGAGGGTTAAGTAATGCCGGTTAACCAGGTATAGGAAGGTTGGTTCACGGACAATTCCAGGTATATATTTTGCTAATTATATTAGATTTTTGCCTTTTATTAGAACTAAATTCAATTAGCCTGTATCTCAAAACTAGACCTGGCAGTTTTAAAATCGGCATAATAATATTAAATATATATCTAAAATTAGTTTTTGGATTTCCGGCACCAACAATTTTTTTTTTATTAGGTATAAACTGGATAATTATCCTGTGATAAAAATCAATTATTATAAACATTTACGAGTATACCAAACAATTTTTTTTATGTTGAAAGGACAAATTGTCAGAAAAAAATTATTTTACTGATAGTAACATCATGTTGTCTAACATATTTATGTAATGCTCGGCTGTTAATCGCCAATCAATTTGCCAGCGCATTACAGGACCGTTAAAGCATCCCAAACATTGACGGAAAAGTGCCCATTATTATTAGTAGAACGCAACTTATAATTTTCTCTCGTAGCCTTCCGCTGTTAGAAGATTGAATCGTCTTTTCATCGGATAATACCAAATTGTTTCAAAATTCTTCCCCGTGAATTAAAAATTCATTTACAACCTGAATTATTCTGTGCTTCTGGGAATAATGTTTCTTCTTGTGCTTTCACAGGAGTCCCAAAAGGATTTTGACGGATATGTTCTACGAGAATTTTCATTAGAGAACTTATTATATCTGTCTTTGTTTTTTGCCAGTTTCTTAATATAGAAATGTAGAAAATGCATCTTTACTGATATTTAATTCAGCACCCACTTCACTTAAAATCCAATTTTCTTCCAATTTTGCTATAGCCCTCGACTTTTGACAATTTTTAAGAGCTGTCAAATTTAAATCGACGACCAACTATAATGCAAAGTCAAAATCACACCATTAAATTTTGGCGTTCACATTTCGGTTTCGTCAATTGTACATAACAAGTTTTCAGGAATTATAAAAACAACCGCTTATTTATTTTTTAGTAGTTTATTTGCACATTTTAATATTTTGCTTTTATATACAGTTTGATTTCCGTTATACTCTTGTATTTGGGAAACTTTTCAATCTATATTCGTACATAATATAGCAATCACATTTTCTTTGGTGGAATGATTCGTTCTCTACAAATATACTGATTGTCAACGAGTAGTATAGTCGACACATAATTATTTACATACGTAGTTGTGTAAAAAACTGTAAAAAACACTGAGCCTTTTGTAGAACTTTAGATTGTTTTTTTTTTATTAGTTGGTAATGTTTATTTAGTTGATTTTATAAGTAGGTAGTTGCGTTTTTGGTTTTTTCGATGATTTTATTTTTTATTTTAAATTTACAACGTACAGACATGTAAAAATAGCTCCCAGCTGACCAACTCAAGCGTTGCCCAGACTACATTTTCAAAAATGATTTTTTTTTATTAAACAAATAATTTATTAGGCCCGCTTATCACTTATATAAAAAGCATATTGTGGTGAATTGTTTATTTCACAGAGTATATTGATTCTTTTAATAATTCAGCAATGTGAAGCCTTTCAGAAATGTTGATTAAAATCATACACTTTTCAGTTTTTACGCGCGAATTTTGAGATCGTTGCGAAAGAACCTTAATAAAACTTTTTAGAAAGATAAAATTAAATTCCATTTAACTTTTTCGGTTAGGGTCGTGAAAATGATTAATTTTTATTTAAAATCTACAGGAGAGTTTTTAACTAAGTAAAGACAATTTCTTTTTAATAACTACTATATTTAAGTAAATACTTACAAAGTTATGTTCAGTAAGAATCAATATGCTTTTAGAAATAAACCGAATTATTTGAAAAAAGACAATTATTACTGAATTGAGTGAATTTTACTTTTTTCGGTTTTTAGGCTGGCGCAATACAATGCTCAGAGTAAGGCAGCTGGGGGCTACATGATCATCGAACCAAATATGAATCAAAATAACTATCACCAAACATCACAAGGGAATTATCCACCGCCCCTACTTCATATGAATGGAGGGATATCAAGGTACGACGGATCTCAAACCAGGTATTTTTCTATTAAATTAAGTAAACGGTTTTTTATATAAGTAATTTAAAGGCATCTATAACAAAGCAAATAATGACGCAAAATCCTAATAACATTCGAGCTATTTTAAGAACATGTACTCTTAGTAGTTAGATTCGAATATTATTTTCAAAATATTTGAATATAGTGGTCGCTGTACTTAATACTGTATTTAATACATAGCAGTCGAAACAATGTCTTAATTCTTAAACCAAATTATTATTTAATTTTACTTAATATATAAAATTTATGGGTAGGTACCAGGGGCAACTCTTGATCAAAATTTTGGGGGTTCATAGTAGCAGAATATAAATCCCGGTACAGATATAGGTAAAAAACTGTCAGTGTTTTAGAAAGGTATATTATAAACTTTCTAAAACACTGAAAGTTTTTTTCATACATCTGTACTGATACCTATATTCTCTCACTGTGAACCCCCACCACGAGCCGCCACTGGTAGGTACGTATTTTTTTTAATATTGATTCGAATTTATTAATTTAGCTATTGGCATGGTACGATTTCTGGTGGTTGATTTTGCTTATTTTCTCTATATAAAATTACGTGAATTATTTTTTACGCATCACTTAATATTTAGCTACGCTTGTATTGATAAATACATTTCTTAAGAGTCAATGTTCTGAAAATATAGGTGTTTTTGATAAATTTTAGATAAAACTACTGTTTTAACTGTTATTTTTTAATATTAAATAATGCACTAAAGGTGTCTAATGATTTATTCATGTTAACTCCCGAATATCGTAATGTTTTTTTGGAATGCATATAGTAAGTTAAAAAAAATTCTTACACTGGTATTTTTTACTTTTTAACGCTAACCATCAGGAATTTGGAAGCGCTTGATCACTATAACAGCCCCAGCACATCTGGGCAAGTGGTTGAAAATGGTTTTCATCAGTCGATTTCTCCAAACTTCCCAGAGACCAACACAGATGCCACCGCGAATGGTGACTATTACCAGTAGGTGTCAAATTTATTCTCTGCTTGTACACCACACTTACACTGATTTAGATACCTTTTAAACTTCGGGTTTTCACTAAGACCAAGGACGAGATTTGAATTTGGAATTATTAGTGCTTTTCTTGGTGAAATCCTTGCTAAATATGATATGTGTATGTGGTCTTTGCGCCTGAACTATAAAAATGTATATTTGTTTTAAATAAACCATGAACGTATAATAATTGTAGATTATGAAGTCCTCTTGATTGCAAAAATTGGAAATTTTTAAATTTTTTGAATTTGAAAGTCCTATTCATTGTTTTTTTTTAATTTGAATGAATTATTTTAAGAATTTTTTTTACCAATTAGAAATAAGTATTTGAAAAAAAGCAAACGGAAGGATGATTCAAGTCCTCGGCAGCACGTTATACGCTAGTAAAGGTAAAATTGTAATAGTCATCTAACTGCAAAAAGTGACACGTTGTCTTTTATGCTTGTTAGTTGTAGTTGGGTACATGTACTATGTCCAGGTGGAGGGAACTGTCGTGTGATCTAACAAATTAAAAGTAAAGTTATTTATCGATGAATTGTTTCCTTTTTGCAGGCAATGAAATATACGCTTCTAGACGTCAATTACAATAAAAAATCCCTTTGTATACATTTTCTGTCGTCCGGTTTTGCTACCTCCAGTGTGGGTCTTTCGGCCACGTAACCTTTTTCAACGAAATTCAGGATATAGCTTAAACGCGTTTTTTTTCTGAATCTGTAATATTGCAAGCATTTCTTTGTGTCTACCAAAGGATTGATATGCAAAAAATTGCAACCTGGCGAAAAGTGACCTGTTTTTTAAAATATGTGTAAAATCGGAACCAAAAGTCTGAAAGTGGTTTGACGTGTGTGAAGTTAGCATCTCAAATCTCAGCATCTCATATTTTAAGCAGAGTTCTTATGGCATCCGATGCAGTACTATAGTTCTGACACTTTTTGTTAATAGTTCTGTCGAGTTTAGTACCGAAAACTGCAATTTAAAAAATGAGATGCTAACGGCCGGAAGTTAGCATCCCAATATAATAAATTAAATAAAATTAATAAAAGCCGACGGTAAATCGATAGTTTACGAATAGTTCTAGAGTTCTTGTTAGTTTGTATAGCTAAATTATTTAATTAATAGCTCTGAACCTTAAAATATAAATATTTATTATACATATAAATTCTATTATATTATGATAACCTCTAGGTACATAATGCTTCTGAATTACAATGCTTCTAAAGGATACCTTGACTCTCTCTGCATTGAGAACCAAGGAGTTTTAGCATCTAGCACTTTTTCAGCAATTTTAAGTAATAATAACAAACAGAAATTATAGACCATAGTGAGATGCTGGCACATTATGACGAGTTCTAGAATATATAACGCTTCTAAACGATAATAATAATCTGTGCATGGACTTTTGAAGAGTTCTAGCCTCTAGCACTTTTTATTATTTTTATTTTTCAAAAAATGCTAGAGGCTAGAACTATTTTGGTCTCAATGCAGAGAGGGTCAAGTTATCATTTAAAAGCATTATATATTCTAGAACTTGTCATAATGTGCCAGCATCCCACCATGGTTATAATTTCTGTTTATTAATACTTTAAATTGCAAAAATTGCTAGAGGTTAGAACTCTTTTGATCTCAATGCAAAAAGATTTTTTATATCATTTAGAAGCATTACCTATTCTAGAACTCGACATAATATAACAGCATCTCACTAGAGTCCATAAATTTTGTTTATTATTAGTCCTTAAAATTATTGAAAAAGTGCTAGATGCTAGAACTCGTTGGGTCTCAATGCAAAAAGATTTATGTTATTATTTAGAAGCATTATATATTCTACAACTCGTCATAATATGACAGCATATCTCACTATCGCCTATAATATATTTTTATTATTAATACTTAAAATTATTCAAATAGTGCTAGGGGCTAGAACTCTTCGCGACTTCATACAGAGATGGTTTGGTTATCACTTAAAAGCGTTACGTATTCCAGAACTCGTCATAATGTGCCAGGATCTCACTATGGTCTATAATTTCTGTTTGTTATTATTACTTAAAATTATTGAAAAAGTGCTAGAGGATAGGACTCTTCGGTTCTCAATGTTTAGAGTGTTATCATTTAGAAGCATTATGTGTCCTAGAAGTTGTCATAATATGACAGCATTTTACTAACGTCTAAAATTTGTATGTATAATAATTATTTATAATTTTTTTAAGCGGGCCAGAGCTATAAATGAAATAATTTAGCTATGCAAACTAACAAGAACTTTAGAACTTTTCGTAAACTATCAATTTACCGTCTGCTTTTTTTATTTTAATTTATTTATTATACTGGGATGCTAATTTCCGGCCGTTAGCATCTCATTTTTTAAATTGCAGTTTTCGGTACTAAATTTCACAGAACTATTGATCAAAAGTATCAGGAACTATAGAACTATAGCGGATGCCATAAGAACTCTGCCTAAAATATGAGATGTTGAGATTGGAGATGCTAACTTCACACACCCGTTTAATTGCTCTAAAAATGTTTATATGACTCTCAAATACGAGTACTGTTATTGCAAGCAATCCAGGGTGAATAGAATCGCTGAATAAAAAATGCTTGCAAGGGCAATAATTTTATTTGAGAGTCATAAACATTTTAAGAGCAATTTAAAAAACAGGCAACTTTTCGCCATGTTGCACATTTCTTTGCATATCAGCTTTTTCGCTGACAAAAAAATCAACTTTGCTTCAGAAAAAACGAGATTGTCATATCCCGAATTTCGTTGAAAAAAGTCACGTGGCCGAAATCCCTTCACCGGAAGTAGCAAAATCGGACGACAAAATAATTAAAGATATTTTTTTTATTGTTATTGACATCTAGAAGTATATATTTTATTGCCATCAAAAAAAGAAAAAAATCCATAGATAAGCAACTTACTTTGAATTTAACAGGTCACACGAAAGTTCTCACCACCTGGACATAGTGTTGTTCACCTCATCCTCATCGGTACCCCAACTACAAATAGCAAGCAAAAAAGACGATGTGCCACTTTTTGAAATCAGATGAGAGATAAAATAATCAGACAGACCTGCTGTACTTATTTATACTGGTGATCGTTGTAATTACCCTGCATAAAAAAATAGGTCTTATCTGTATTTTCGGAGACGTAATTTTTATTGTTTTTTCTTTCTTCTGTCGATAAATGTTTTTATGTAAGTAAATAGTGGTATTGGATGTTTTGTTTTTGATATTGTGTTTTTATATTGGCTTTCAGTTTTCAGGGTTCTCTATTACTTAGAGGGTTTTCTGTTTGCCGTTCGTAGGCAAAGTAATTCGTTTTGTGCTTTGTTACCAATAAAAAAAGTTATGGATGTTAGCGGACGAGCAAAGCAAAAAGTACGCGGTAGAAAACCGGTTTCTGCAGACTATCGCATTTCCTGTTTTAAACTGTACTTTCGAAAACTAACATAAAGGCCTGGCATTTTTTTTAACAACGCAACTACGCTATTTTATACAGGGTGCTTTTCTGCTTTTTAATTACTTTAAGAGCATAAAGGTTCAAGTATTTATTATTAAACGTGTTGTTCAGTGATGGACTCGGAAATTTTACTTAAATATTTCTATGGCGAAATTCGAAATTTTTACTAAAGTTAATAATTTATACCCATAGTTTTTTAGAAATTTTATGGATTTGAAAAAGGCATAATTTAAAAATATTTTTTAAATTGAACACCCTGTATTTTATTTCAGTTTTAGAATGGCCTGGTAATACTGGATTGCCCAGCAATTTTTTAAATAAAATTACAATGAATGTTAAGTTAGCAATAATTTCAAAATTGTTTGAATTACAAACTTATAATGTACCAAGCTAACGAATAGTGATAATAGAAATGAGTTTCGTTACCCTAATTAGCAAACCTCGTAACTCCATTTTTGTCAAATTCACATTTCCTTGCCAACTTGTAGAGAAAAAAAACCTCTATTACCTACATGTTACAAACC